CAAGTCTGTGATACCCATACAGCAAAAAATATGACTTTTAAAGTGTAAATTTAAAAACCAATAAAATAATTAGCTGTAGTAGTAGAACCTTGATTTTAGAGACCAAGTCTGCAAATTTCATGTTAAGCACATGCCTCATGTTATAAATATATGTCTTTTGGTGTTATTATGAAGATCAGACAATCAAACCTATGCTATCCCTGGCAAAAACTACTCCTAATTAGCAAACTAAAAAAAAACAAGTTTTATCAAATGTTCCATATTAAATAAAGCTTGCTTATTTACAAGTCTGTCTAGCCACTGACCTCTTAAGCTCTTTGAGTATATTATATGTGTCTAATGCATCTTTGTACAGTGTTCACAGCAACCAGCCAATAGTATTGTACATGTTTGCTGAGTGACAATTAAGTGGACTTTTATTATCTTGAAATCAAAAAACTTTTCTGCTCCAAGTTTCTTTCTGAGCTTTGTACATTAGGACAGAAAGTTTCAAGGAAAATATTTAACACTTATTGAGCTGAAATGTGTCTCTGTACCTTTGTGGCTTCCATTTCCCGGGAAGCAAGCTGGTTCTGAATTTCTTCTAGTTGGTTCACAGCGGAAACCTTCTCCCTCGTGGCCTTTTCCACCTGGGCCTCCAGGTGGGCAATGTTCTGAGACAGAGCCAACATCTGAAAGAGGAAGTCGAAGTCCTAAGTGATAGCGTCCTTTGACAACTAAATATTAAAAATACATTGCGTTCATAAGGTCTCAGCCACTGAGCTCTCTCAAAGTCCTTCCTCTGTGGATTGGGTATGTCCATTTCTTTGCCTCTTCAACTCATCTGTCCCCCATGACTTAAGTATGTACCTCCCTGGTCTCTATCATCGTTTTGGAAAACATGTAACACGATGATCAAATCAAAGTGTTGGTTGAAACTCTGGTGACTGACAGCAGACACCTAAGCTATGGGAGGGATGGACATGACTGCATTTCAGAGGAGGTGTCAGGGAATCAGAGAGCTCTCGAACCCTTCTCCCACACACAGGGCAGAGAGGACTGGTGACTGGGAGAGCTGGAGGGGCAGGCACTTCAGAGAGAGCTACTGGTGGCCTATGAAACGCAGTCCCTCCCCCAACGCCACCAGAGAGCAGGCTCTCCGAGTCCCCCAGCCTTCCCATGACCTCCTAGCCCATCCCTCCCGTGGGGGTCCCCTCAGCCACATCTCCGCTCCTCCAGGAGGCTCCTCTGGCCCCCAGCTCCCAGCTCAAACAGAAGCTTCTTCATATACGCAGGGTGGCTCTGCAGGGAACCTGCACTGGTGGCCCTGCCTGCTGTTTGCAGCCGCCACCCATTGTCATGGGCCGCTGTCCACGCGGTCCTGGTGCTGGAGTATTTCCACTGTCACTCGGGCACGTGCTCCGACAGCCACCTCTGTCCACCTCTGTGGCACCCAGCCTCTGCGTACCCGGCACAGCCCTTCTCGCGCTGTTTCCAGTGTCTGTTTCCTCACAGAATTTCTAAGATCCTCAAGGGCACGCTCCTCAAGAGGCACCAAATGTTTGCTAAATGCACGAATAATTAGAATAAATGGCTTTTCTGCGGGACTCCATGGGCACCAGGTTCTTGGTTTCTCTTCTCAGTGTTAGAACAGCTTTCCGGATCTTAGATTTAACCTTCATGGTTTTATTGTTTGCAATTACATTTTACTCTTCCCCAGTAAGTAACATTTTCTAGGCTCTTAATTTCTTATTTGTATTAGCAGTTTTATTTTATTGCTTTATTTTTATTTTTAGAGAGAGGAAGGGAGAGAGGGAGCCGAGAGAGAGAAAGAGAAAGAGGGAGGGAAATATCAATTGGTTGCCTTCCATATGTGCCCAACTGGGGATCAAACCCGACACCCCAGTTTTGTGCCCTGACCAGGAATTGAACCAGCAACCTTTCAATGCCTGGGCCGATGTGTAACCAACTGAGCAACACCGGCCGGGCTAGCAGTTTTAACATAAAGAAGCAATGCTGCTACACCCCGAGCAAAACATAGAGGGCTATCCATCAGTTTCTAAACTGTTAAAACACGGACTGAGCAAATTTGAAATAATACCATTTGAATTCTACCATTGCACAATGATGTGGATGTAAATTCAGTTTTACAATTCAAGTCAGTAACTAAAATTGTGTGATAAAATCAAGGTTGCCTTTGAAATACATAACTCCAGCTGCCACATATGAAAATGACGAGTCCGGTAGCTATTTTCTAATCGAGACAGTAGTTGCATTAACTTTCCCGGGGGCTGTGGACAGCTGTCTATTTGACTTACGGCTGTTTATATGTCCTTCTTATCATCAAAAGATTGGCTACAAATCTGATTTGTACATAAAATCATCTTTACTAACGCCAAGCTACAAACCATCCTTACGCACATTCCAATTCAAACCTAAAGGCCAGAAGAAGCTCAACGCAACAAATCAAAGATGTTCATTTAAGTTCCTTAATATAAAAATTCAAGTTCACGAATGTCCCTATTCTGAGTGTGTCATGATAGCTTCTCTGGAACCATATAGCAACCACACACCAAACTTTAAAGACCGGCTACTAAAAATCATATATGACGTATGCGGAGATATGTATGGTGAACATACGATCACTGTGTGGTTTCTGAAGTAGCTGTTACACATGTTGGGAGAAGCGCTCGTTGTAAATGCTGAGCCTGTTTGCATGACAAGGCGTGTAACACATCACACTCCCTCCATGTGACCCCTCCCTCTGCCGCCCCCACTTCTCTCCTCTGCCCGTTACCTGTCTGCTCCCTCCTGTCACCCCCCTCCCCCCCCAGCCTCCCCTGTGAGTCACACCTTCTCCCCATGCCCACCATCTGGAAGCCAGCATCGCTCTGCGGGAGCCTCTCCATCCACATCTGTCGCGGCGCCAGCAGGAACGGGGACAGCTGCGACACTGCCGGTGCCCGGGGCGGCGGATCAGGTAACTCTGACAGGGGCGAGCCAGAGACAAGGACACCCAGGCTGCGAGAGCCCGGAAAAACCTACACTGACTCAGCCCCTGGTGTGTGAGCACGGGACAAAGCGGTGCTCCCCACACAAGAGGCACAGGAATGAAGGATTCTAGCGAAGGGTTACTGTCCAGGGAACCAGGTAAGGAAATGCACCAACAATGGGAGCTCAGTACCCGGATGACGAATGACCGATGGGGCGCACAGCCCGAGGGGCTCCGTGCAACCAAAGACCATCACTTGGGACAACACACACAGCACGGGCCTTGCGCGGGAGAATGATTCAAACCCTGTCCGGGCAGAAGGCATCTGTGCACCCAGAGCTGCCCACACACATGAAACTGTTACATTGAAATAAAGGAGAGAGAAGACAAATAATAGAAAGAAAGGGAGGAAATCTAAAAGTGCAAGCAAGCGTGCCTTGCTGCTGGAAGGCGGGGAAGCCAGGTCCGGGAGTAACTACAGGACACTTACAACCTCGTGATTAACGGTCCATCTCCCTCTCCTGTGAACTGCCTGTGCGAGGCAGTAAGATATACATTCCCTCTTAATCCCCGGGAGGAAGAATTATATTGGATTAATTTTCAACTGAAAAAATGAGATTCAGTAAATTAAGTAATTTGCCCAAGTTCATTCAAGCTAATAACTAAAAAGTAGAGCTAGGCTTTCTATTCACATCTGTGCGTTTACTCACATGAAGACCCAGGAAATCTATCTAATAAGCCACAAGCTAAAATGTATGAAATATCGACTCGAAGTCAGGTATTGTATTAGGTTCTCTCAAAACCTTATCTTATTGAATCCAAGCAATTCATTGAGTAGATCAGCTCCATTATTTACCCTTGAAGTTTAGAGGGGTCCAATTCTTCAGGGTCACAGTCAGGTCAATTTAGATTCAACCCGAAGACTTTTACTCCAACACCACTTTCTGCCATTTGCTGGTGACAGCACCACCCCAGCGCTGGGACCACCTGCAGCCTTTATTCCTGCACCTGTACTTAGGGCAGGGCTTACAGATCAAATGACAAACAAGACCTACTGAGGGCACATGACTCAGACTCAGAAATACATTGCGTCTCTGTTGTCACCTTTATTCATGAAAGAATTGTCAGCATGAGAAAGAGGCTCTGTTACCTGTGGAAGCACCTGGAATAGTGCCTGGTGCATTCAGCCCTCCTGGTCCTTTCTTTTTTTTTAATTTTTTAAATATATTTTATTGATTTTATACAGAGAGGAAGGGAGAGAGATAGAGAGTTAGAAACATCGATGGGAGAGAAACATCGATCAGCCGCCTCCTGCACATCTCCTGCTGGGGATGTGCCCGGAACCTAGGTACATGCCCTTGACCGGAATCGAACCTGGGATCTTTCAGTCCA